CTTTCCAGCCCATCTTTCTTAAAATCTGATTCCCAATGTTGTCCTCTTTGATCTTCTGTTTGAAAGCCTCCTCTGCTGATCGACCCCGAATCTCATTTCTGGAGATGACATCTTCGACGGTGCCCTTCTTCAGGTTATTAACGACAGTTGGCTGAGTCTTTTTGAGGATTTTCACGGCTTCCTCTGCTGCCTCGTGCTTGACAGATTTCTTCACTCCAACTGCTTCCGCGATGAATTCGTCTTCAAGCAGCACCTTGCATTTCCATCGCATGCCAGTCATCCTTTCAAAGACATACTCCACCGTCATCTTGTTGAACTGGGCGGTGTCGTTCAGCGTACACACCGGATTACTGGAGTTCTCATACACCACGAGGTCCTTCAGGTCCTTCTTCCTTCCGGAGCCCCGCGACGAGCAGCCCACTTTCTGAACCTGGGTCACTTTGATGGCTGCTATATTTGACTGTATCTTCTGCAGAATTTTCAGTGCCTCCTCAGCTGCTGCGTGCTTGCTGGTCTTTTTAGTGCCAAATCCCTCAGCTAGGCAGTGATCTTGTAGATACACTTGACAACGCCACGAGCGGTTGGGCATTAATTCATATTTATATTCAACAGACATTTTGTTATACGAGGCAGAATTGTTAAGTATTCCTATTGCGTCGCTGGCATTCTCTGTGAGGACAAAACTAGTCCAGTGTTTGTTGGTACTAGCGGAACCTTTCACAGATTCAGCACCAGGCTGCATCGGGACACAGTCCCTGTTGGCAACTACAAACTCCTCATGAGGTTTGAGAGCAGGAGGGAAATCTGGGCGACTCACGCCTGCCTCGCACACCACCAAGTCTTCGTGATAGGTGTGCTTGAACTTCCGCTGAACAACCCTAACTTCCACAGACTTCTTCAGCAGCTTGACTGCCAGCTCCGCGGCTCGATCCCTGGATCCGTTTTTGCTGCCAGCGTAACCGGTGGTCAGGTAGACATTCTGACATCGCACTTCACAAGCAAAGCCATCTGTGAGGAGCTTCTTGCTCTTGGGGAGGTCAGCAGGGGCGATTTCTTTCAGAGGAACATAAATATATTCAGGATTTGTCTTGCATGCCTGAATTGAACGTGTCAAAAGATACGTATAGTTTATTTTATCAGTCCCAGTGTTTGCATCTGGGTTAGCAAGATTTTTCCAGATAGCTGCTGACAGTTTCTCGATAAAACTCTGCTTCAGCATTATAGCTGACGGAGGGAAAATCTCTGATGCAGACTGGACAGTTGAAGGAGAAACAGAAACCTGCAACACGCTGCTTGTGGTAGAGTCCATACTATTCACAGCCGCCTTGGCGGCTGCTGCCTGGCCTGCAAAGCCAAACCCAGCTGAGTTGGAGAGCTGGGGATCCACCTCCTGTGCACTCGCAAAAGAATTTGTACAGTTTTCAGCTGGCTGCGTTATGCTGTTTGTATTTGCCTCCTGGTTCACCTCCTGCGTTTGGATATCCAAAGAATCTTCCTTCTTGTCATCCTTCTCAGCACTGGTGACAAAGTGTATGGGTTCAAAACGCGGTCGCACCCGGAACCTCGGGACCATCTTTTTGGGCGGCTCAGGAATCTCTTCCAGCTCTGGACCTACGGGGTGGAAGAAAATGACAAAATTACCAATACGTGCTGTGACAGGGAGACAATATTTTCAGAGTCATCTCCAGGAGGAGCCCGCAGGCTTCCCACTTCTTTGCCACAAACCAAAAGGTTTCCTTCCAAAGACATTCACAAGTGATCAAATAAGACCATTCGTTCTTGTGCAGGTCACTACAGCGGTATCTCCAGCTCCACAACTACCATACAAAAATCTTTCCATATTTAGTTACATGGATTTTAGGTCTGAATCACTCGTTCTGCCCTGCAACGTTGCCCACTGTACCCATCCAGTCATTTCTGAAGTTAATCCATTCAAAGCTACTAAAACAAGTAAAAACTATGGCCAAAAAGACAGAACACCACACCGTGACTAGAGCCTCAGCTCTGACTCTGCTGCAGGGTTGCACGATGATCTCAGAAACCACTTTATCTTCAGGTTCTTCTCATTTGATGGAGCAACACAGTGATACCGAACCCTCCTTTCCAAAAGACGCAGGGCTGTTAATGACAGTGTTAATAGAAGCGTATTTTCTGTAAGTATAACTACCCTTGGCTAAAGGACACCAAACATGGAGAAATCTGCCCGAGCCTCAGGCGACAGCTGCAGTGGCGGGGGGGGGCCCCATTACACATCACTGGTAGACCTCGTTTCTTAACCAGAAGAAATGCAAATGAGGCAAAATATCCTGATACGCACAGCTACTGCAGAAAATGAGAATTAAATAGCCGATAAGCAAACACGTTACATGTAAAAGATGGTTATACAAGGCTTCTCCTGTGAAAGATTTAGCCCCCGCACGCTGAAGTGGTACATGTGTGTAATTTCATCAGAGGCGCAAAAGGCCACCTCAGCACCTTAGAACGAGCCGCCTAATCCAATGCCAATGTGTGCAACCGTAATATAGGTCAGGCAACACATCTGTCTAGACATCACACTACCATAGCATATTTATCATAGCCTAGTTCATTGCAGATGAAAAAACCGCTTCGCATACAGCATAAACAGGCCTTCATATTTAAATCAGGTGACAAAGCTCTTACACATGCGTTAAATCCTTCGGTCGTCAGTTTTGATGAATTATGGCAAGGTTTACATTTCTTGCTCAGTTTGGTATTTTGATGATTGCACTGCAGCAGCATCTAAAGGCTCTCACCAGCAGAATAGCTCTTCACGCTGTCTGTGTACATGCAATAGAGAACCCTTCCCCCTCAGAGCTGCTGCCTGAGAGACAGACAAAACATGGGAGAAAAGTAGTATTTTTCTCAGTTTTGCAGCTGGCCCATGGAAGCACAGAAAGATTGCTGGGTGTCAAAGTAAGGAAAGAAACTTCGGCAGAGCTAGGGGTTATATTCAAGCCTAGAGGAGTCCTGTGCTGTCTGACCATTTGTGCTTTAAACAGCCAAACTACTGACTGACCCTGCCTCACAAAGCAAGGGCCTGCCTGCTCGCACCCGCACCCTGCACCTGCACACACGAACAATCCCCCCGCCCCTCCCTCTGGAGAGAGGGCAGGGAGCTCTCAAGGTGCTGGAGAGGAGTCAGCGGATGAAGCCACTGAACCGCCAGCCCTCTCCGCCTGCTGCATTTCCTCCCTCTGGAAAAGCTACAGCTGGAACATCGATCCCTGAGACCATGGGACTGGGCTGACATATGCAGGACTCTTCCAGGTCCCGTAGGGATAAAGTAAACACCCCCCACCATCACCACCCAGTGCTCCAGGCAGGTCGTAACTCAAAATCAATAAGCTGAACTCCACATCTCCATGCACAGGTACAATCCCGTCTCAGGTCGGAACATCACCCCTCACCACAGTGAAGAAGGGCAGACAGATATTTAATTACATAGATTCAACTCCCTAACACTATCACTAGGGAAAATCAATTAGCTGGTAATTTCAATGAAAAATTATATTTTCTTAAGCAAAAGGAGAACTCTGCATGAATTATGAACATCCCACAACATGGCAGAGGAGGGGAAACGGCTGCAGTCTAGCAGAGTACATCACAGTCATTTCTCTTCAGTTTGCCATGCTGGCTCTCTCGGAGGCGGCCCCGTGGCGCATTGCTCTCCCCACACTCCCACTAATGCCCACCAAACACCGACAGGGAAGGGTGTCTCCTTTGACACACAGGCAGATATACTCACTGTCAGATGGAGAGCGGTATCTTTTTAGCTTCCTGCTAGGGACCAACTCGTACGTCCTCATTTCCCCGATATCGATGCCTTCAGCCATCTTCAGAACCTTCTCCATGACTTGCAAGCCGTATCTGTGTGGATTCAACAGCAAACCACTTTAGAACTGGTCCCACAGGGGCAACACACACACGCGCACACACAAGTTTTGATTATGCAAAACAAGAACTAAAGCTACCTGAGACATAGTACCTGGTGCAAGGGAGACGCTCCCCCTGATTTTGCTGGAGTACTAACGGGGGACCTGACCACCGGCCTCGCGCTGTAGCTAGTTCAGTGCTGGCAGACAGCCTGCACACCAGCTAAGAAGCTACCTGGCTCTAAGTGAACCCATTTGTGAATAACAAACCGTGCAGCCACCAAACTGATGGTGTTTTAAACTTAAATACATTATCTGTCAAAATATAACATTTGGCAGAGCTACTACGAACACTAAGGGACACGGGTGTGGAAAAGGAGGAGTCTCTGTGGGCATCGCAGCTTCAGTGAACTAAGCACAGGAGTGACTGACTGGCACTGAAGTCTTGCCTGGGTCAGCAGCCACAGACCGTACGTCACCAATACTGAAATCGTGGATGTCAGATGACAAAGGCACTGCTCAACCTTTATCGAACACTCTTTAAAAAGCCATACTAATTTTCTAGCTTGGTAGCTGTAACTGAAACATTTTAAATCCCTGAGCCATGACAGAGGTGAGGTGGCTGTAAACTAGCTCTCTGCAAACCCTGACCCTGCTGCAGCACCCTCGCGGTTCCACACAGGCAGGACACACACTGTACAGCCCCATCCCTCTTGGCCCTAACTTCCCAACCATCTCAGTGTTCCATTGCTCCAGGGATCCGTCACATGTTTTCAAGCCATTTGTATGGCTGAAGCTGAGCAAGAAAAAAACCCAAACCTTTCTAACCAAGGAGAACCTATAAACATGGCCTGAAAACAGCCTCCGACAGCTTTGCGCTGTGGTTCAGAAAGGAGAAAAAGCAATCTTGCACCTGTTCCACAGTGTGCACACCTTCAGAAGTCAAAAAGCATCAGGTCACTGCCCACGGACAGGAGTCTACAACTGTCCCAACAGCTAGTGCTGCAATAACTTGCACCAGCTTTTAAATACTACTGTTCCAAGGGCTCTGGAAATCTACTCACTCTCCACTCAAGAAATGCCCTTCCTGTTCCTGATTTAGAGGGCCAGACAGAAATTAGATCAATTTAAATTACTGGGTGGGAACTCTGAACACACACTACTGCAGTCCCTGCTTCACCTGCAGGTACCCAGCACAGCTCAGCCCCCAGCAGAGAGGCAGTGGAACCGGGCATGGGAAGAAAAGGCCAAGATGGATCAAAGGAAGGCGGACGGGGATGATACCCTCATCTTCCCGCAGCCAGAAGGGAGAGGGGTGGGAATCCCTACTCCTCTCTCTGGCTTACAGGGAGAAGAGTACACTGCCTGTGATGGGAACATGAAGGACGATGCCCTTTTCCAGCAGGGCGCGAGAACAGCATTAGGTTTGACACAAGTGTGTCACTTTTCTTCACAAAGGATGGAGATGTTTGGGGCTCAGATTTCTGCCCGGGGGAAGATCAACCAGTCACAACACACGTTTGTCTAACCTGGCCTTAGAAATCTCAAGTTGTGGAGACTGCACGTGGAGGCAGAGGAATGCCACATCTCCAATGCCTAACTAAAGTCTCCCTGGTGTGACTTAAATACATTACCTCTTATCCTGACCCCAGTAGCTCGGGAGCATAATGCTTCCTCAGCACCTCCACCATTTTGCAGCCACCTTTAACATATCTGAGAACACATGCATCTTCCCTCATCCACCCCTAAACTAAATGAATCCTGTTACTTAACTCCTGTCTCACAGACCATGTTTTCTAAGTCTTCTGGACATTCTCCAGACCATCCCCCACCAGAACACTCCCTTGGGTGTCATCAGCGAAGACTCTGATGTATACTTACCCCGACTAACAGGTTGCCTTCAGCTAACAAGTGATCAACATTTAAAAAAAAAAACAACCCAAAACCAACAACAAAACCCCAAAAAACACTAAACCAAAAAAACCCCAACAAACTTAAGAGAAAACAATAAAAATCCCCCAAACTTTGAAGTTATTCACTTGATACAGCAACAACGGCTCTTCCCAAGCAGCAAAAGGCAGTTCCAGAAAAAGCTGTGGGTCCCCCCCCTTCCCCAGAAAACTCTAAGTAAAGCTGCCAATTGCTCTTCAACAGCGCAGCGTGTTCACCGTGCCCGTGCGGTGCGTTCACGTTCGTGCCCAACACAAGCTTTGGGGAAACATCCTCACTGACAATGGCTCTGCACCACATCATGTCTGAAACTATTGCTCACGTCTCCCCTGAGAGCTGCAGGTAGAGATGGTCATCAGGGAAAGTATGTGCACTTACAGGCTTAAATTGCATCATTTTTTAGGATTTTAGATCTTGCCACATAGTTCTTCACTTTTGTTATCAGCACCCTATAACCATATTGCACTGACTCCCAAAAGCACTGTCGCAAAGGCGGCCCTCCATTAAGACAGCACACAAACACGTAAGATGAGCCAACGGACCAAAGAGACTATGTCTGTAAAAGATACGTTCAATTTTAACATACTACTTGAGCTTTAGAATTTGAAGCTGATTTAAAACTGTGCTCAATTTGGGTGCTTGCAGAGCAGAATACTTTAGTACTTGGACCAGAAAGAAGTAAGAAAACATGCAGATCTACATTTAAAGATGTTGACTTGGCTCTGTACGAATGACACAAAATATTCGCCAACAAAGGCTTTGGGATAGTAACATAAATAGAAGTCAAACTGTGTGCCCTTCAGTGTTTACAAGCTCCTCTGTCACTGCACAATTTGCTGAAGTTAGTCGGTAAGCAGTTGCTTCTGTCTTTAGAGCCTCATGTCCTGTTAAAAATAATCACAACATCAGAAGTGGCAGTCGGGACGTGGGTGACGTTTCTGCAGATCTCCACAACCTTGCTAGTTAGGGTACGGTGGTTTCTGCACGTTAACAGTAATCCTGATGAAGGGAAACCTCTTCCATTCACCGGGCCTATTTCTCTCAGAAAAACTGAGCTTTAAGGCGACTGTCTAGGCTGCTTGACGCTTAGAGGGATACTTTCTTCTCACCTAAGTTACAAAGCACAATACCACATGCTTAACGAGTCCTCAGGCATGGGACATCAAGAACTACTTTCAAAACACACATGGACTTTTTCAGCAGCTTGCTCCCCTCCACATACAAATACATGCACATTCCAGCAAAGAAAACTGTCCGGGAACCGAAGTTCTCCGGCATCGGCCCCTTCCACCCCAGCTCTTCTGGGGTTACTTTTTAGAAGGCAGCCGGGGCCGAGATTCAGCCGAGCAGCACCGGGCCACGACGGGAGCCCCAGCGAGCGGGGCGGCGAGAGGAGCGGCCGGGGGGGGCCCGAGCTCCTTCTCCCCGCCCGGCGGCGGGGGGCG